TATGAAAATAATTGCAAAAAGACCCCCATAGTGGAGTGGAAATTGAAGATTGCAAATAGCTTATATGCTAGAACCCCAGTTACGAACACCAGAGTTACAAACTGACCAGTCAATCACACACTTCATTTGGAACCGGAAGTACACAATCAGGCAGATGCAGAGACCCCCCCCGCCCTCCCCCCCCAAAAAAGTAAATACAGTACTGTTAGATGTAAACTACTTTAAAAAAAGGAAAGCATAATTTTTCTTCTACATAGTAAAGTTTCAAAGCTGTATTAAGTCAATGTTCAGTTGTAAACTTTTGAAAGAACAACCATAAAGTTTTGTTCAGAGTTAGAAACAACCTCCATTCCCAAATTTTTCGTAACTCTGAGGTTCTACTGTACTGATAACATTTCTGCATTTAACAAACATGGCTGTTGTAAAAGTCTGTAGATTTTTATCTGTATGATTTACAATTGAGTAGAATACTAAAAAATCATATTAAAGAGTTAGAAAGTACTGTGCCAAAGAACTAGTTTGTTTATAAAGAGAATTGTTACCTAATTTTTATTTCAGGTGCTGCACCTTATGAATAAAATGAATCTACCCCCTCCCTTTGGACCCGTTACTGCTCGACCACCCATGGTAAGAAATTTTGTATATTACATTTAATATGTGTGCCTTGTTCTAGGAGGTTCATCAGTATTTGCTGTTGATTAGACATTTGTGCAGCTGTTGGATGTGTTGGCATGGGCTCCAAACTGGTATGTATCGATTTTCTGTTGCAAGGAAAACTGAATTTTCCAACAGTATGAGATGAAAACCAATGTGTTGTGACCATTTAGTAATATCTTCAGAATATTTCAAAAATAATGGAGGGCAGTAAAATGGAGATTACGATAGTGCAAACAATATCTTGTAGCAGTTATAGGAAACATGAAAATCATTTGAATACCACACGGTTAGTCTATTGCATAAGCAACACATGAAATGTTCTTTGAGCTATGCATTTGTAGAGAGTTCTTATGAGATTCTGACTGCTGATGTGAAAACCACATAATCACTCACTTTGGCCCTAGGATTTCATGGGTTGTTATGAAGGGGAAGAGAGAGGGAGGACCTGAATCTATGGCCCCAGTTCTCCACTATGTCTGGATAGAGGGAGCCAGCTCTAGCTCCCCGTCTCCAGCAGATGTTAGAGCTTCGGCGGGCTTACTGTAAGTTGTGCCATTGGCAGGATCCGGCATAGGGAAGCTCAGGTCCAATACATCCCACAGGTTGCCCTGGCATACCACCACCTTCTGCTTTTTCAGGGATTGGGAGGGTAGTTTCTTTAGGAGGTTACATGATGCACAGTAAATTTAGCAGACCAGTGAATTTTCCCTGATATTTTTGAAACTACCCTGTGCATCTTATAGGACAGGATCAAATACTAGGAATGTTATGATCAGGTAAAAATTAGTAACCGTTCAAAAGACCCAATCTCTAAAGTGCTGAGCAGCTTCTATAAAGAACTGAATGCTTTCATTTTCATTGACTTCAGCAGTTTTTGCAACTGTCCCCATGTTTGTTCATCCAAGTGGCTGTAAGCTTTACAGTAAAGTGCACTGGGAATCCTATCGGGGTGAGGTTATTTTGGCAGGAAACTGCTCAGAATATTCCTACAATAATTTCATAACTAATGAATCAATAACTAATCCTTACTACACCTGTAGCTAAGTAAGTGTTATCCCTATTTACAGAGGGAAGGAGTTTATGGCTTGTTCAAAGTCAGAGGAGATTCAGCATAATAACTAAGATTAGAATTTGAGAGCATCTGTCTTCCTGTCATATGCTCAGACCATGTTCCTTTCTAGTCTGTAAAACTAAGAATGGAAAAGCAAAACTTCTGGAGAAGCTAGCTGTTTTTCCTTCCTTAGTTTCTGAAGTGCTCTAATTAATGTTTTCTTTCCCCCACCCTTTACTCCCAATCTTAATGTGAAGAATTAAGTATTTTGTTACTATTTTTGAGTTTGAATTGTTTGATGTAAAATTCTCATGAAACTGAATTTGTCAAGAGTGAGTAGATAGATCTCAAACATCTTGTTTTGAAAAGCTTTCTTTGCCTTCTGCCAGTTTATCACATTTGAAGCTTCTTATTTATGCAGAAGAAATTAAAACATACATTTTTCCAAAATGAGTGTTTAAAGACTTCAGTTTTATGTCTTTCATTGATTAGTATGAAGAATATTTACCAGCACCTGTGCCGCCGCCGCCTATCCCACCACTGCCTCCGGAGGAGCCTCCTTTGCCTGAAGAAGAGGAAGATCAGGAATCTAGCAGAGAAGAATCTGAATATGAAAGTGCTGATGAGGAAGAAAAGGAGAGGTTTGTAATTATAATCGGTAACCAATCATGCTTTAAAAAAAAAAAAAATGCTGTTCTTGTAGGTCTCAATCCAGCCAAAATCATCCTCTGTGCCTCCTGGCCCAGAGAAGCTCCAATTTTGTGACTGAATATCCCCAGCTATTCTAATATGTAGGTGGCCTTTCCAGACATAAATTTTAAAGAAGCTGCAGTTCTTAATATTCTCCCTAAGGCTGACAGTACTCTTCTGAAAGTCAGTCAGGGCAAGGATGAATATGGTCATGTGGCTCAAAAATTAACATTACTAGTTTCCGTACACTTTTACTCTCTCAACTCTTCCAAAATTCCTATTGAATAGGGAGGATCTCTTATCTGTTAGGGAAGTCACACAGAAAATCTAGTCTGCTCTGGAAGTGATGTCAGCTTTCTACCCACCTGCATGCTGAGTGTTCAGTCCCATATGTGGGGGGATTAACAGAGCTCTATACTGAATATGATGCAGGAGGTGCAACGCTCATTTGCATGTGGTCTCCTCTCATTAAGTAGCTGTGCCACTTGCTTTTGATTTTGGATTGGCTCTTTTATTTTATGACATTTGTGGAAAACTGACTTTCTCTAGCCCTCCACCCCACTATTATCCTGCATTCCTGCCATGTGGGCAGAGGACTGGACTCGATGACCTCTTGAGGTCCCTTCCAGTCCTAGAATCTATGAATCTATGAAGCTGGTGTGAAGGGCTTGCCTGACTTACAAGGCCAGAAATTGATTGTGTATTATATGCATTATGCCATGTATTATGTGGGATTAGGCCTTTAGGGCAGTCTTTAAAAATATTTCTCACTGCTAATCTGTTGCTTCCAATTTAAAAGTATCTAAAATTCCTTGAAAGAATTTAACTAATCCTAATTAGAACAAATACTTTTAACATTACTTTGAGTAAAGATTTCCGTTTATGAGTCATAATATAGTAATGAAACTTCTGTGTTTCTTGTAAATTTACCTTTTTTTACTTTGGTGAATGATTTAGGCAGATTTTATACATCCTTTCCTCATGCCCGAGTACTACTCTAATTTAATAATTCACGTTCTCATCAATCTAAATGTTCTACAGTAACATTACTTATTTTACAGTAAATAATGTGTAGCTGCATTCTGTTAGTGTATCACAAATGTGTGGGATATAATAGAACAGTTCAACACATTTGAGTTTCAGAAGTCCTGGTCAGAAATAAGAGGCTACATTTCTAAGATGGCATCTCTAGATTAAAAACTAAACTGTTTTGAATGTCTTTATTGTGTTTCCAATTTAGAATGACTAAATTGATGGAATTAGCAGCCATTCAGCCTAAAAGACCAATATCCACAAAGCAGCGTAGTGTGAGAAAAAAGCAAAAGATAAAAGACTTGCTGAATGCTCCCACATCTGCTCCCCACAGGTATTGTATTATTATTATTTGTATTTCTGTAGTGCTCATCGTGTATTGAGTATAAGGAATAATCACAAAAAGGTGCCTTGCTCAAGATTTTTTTTTATTTTTCTACCTCAGAACTTTTAATACAGTGTCCTACTGCAAGATGAAGTGCTGTAGGTGATCCCTTCCAATTGTTACTAAAACTTCCCTGAACAGATGGCACTTGTATCATGCTCTGAAGTCTCCAAGACTTGAGCTTTCCTTGATCTCAAGCTAGTTCCACAGCCATGGACCCTTTATTGAGACTGTTGTTCTTGCCTCTACCATATCTGTTTGTTTCTATCAATTTGTTTTATATCAAGTTTGAAATAGATCTGAACAGAACCCCCGTTTTCTCCTCTACCCTTCTGGCTAAAGGCTGGAACATGGATCTGAATAGGCTTAGGCCATCTCTAGTAGAAATATGAAAATACAGAAAATAATAATTTTGTTTAAATGCTTTAGCATCTCCAATTTTATTCCACTGTGTCCCTAAAAAAACAGAAGTAATATTTTGATCTCCTGACAATCAACTGTTTAAAAATGTATTTATACAAGTATATTCACTTTTCCCTGCACACCTGAAGAAAACTAAATGGCACATTTTTATACTGTTAGAATAGCCGAGGACACTTGTTGTTGTTTTTGCTTTGTGGCCTGTTTAAATAATATATGACAGTTCCGCTATTGCAGAGCTCTAATAGAAAACTGTGAAGGAAAGAAAAAAATCACTTAATTTTCACTTGGCTTGTTTGAGGAAAAACTAGTCTAGACTTATTTTTGTCCTGGTGATTTAAGAAATTGGTCGTTAAAGATGAGTTGCAAAAGATTTTTTTCAAAAATTGGGCTGTGCCCTTTTCTGCTTCTTTAAGATGAAAGCCTGGAAGTTTTGGAGGGTGGGTTGCAGGGGTTATTGTGGTTTAAAATATTTTTTTCTACTTAGACCAATTTAGTTGATACTGTTTAACACCTTCTAAAATTCTAATTCAGATAAGGCAAGTTGTACTTTAGCATGTGCCAAATTGGTGCACTTAAAGCTTAGGCTCTCCCCTAGGCATTAACTTGACAGATTGCTAAAGTACAGCTTGCCCTTTCTTTACTAGAATTGTACATGTTGTTAGTTAAAGTGAATTAGCTAACATGATCTGACATCACACCTTAATAGCCCTGGAAACATCAGGAGTGTCAAGTCTGGTCTTCCATAGTATTGCTGAAGGGCCCTTGTGGAATCTTAGAGTACAATTAATGTGCGCCCATGCACTCTAATTGAAAGAATGTTGGTGCTGAATATTTAACAAAGATGTCTTTTACCCAAAATATTTACCAGTCATTGAAGCCAAATACAGTCTGCTTCTCCAATCATTTGCTTAACTTACATTCTTAGTTCTTGTTATGTCGTTATATCATTTGTTCTCACTCATGAGAGAATCTTCCAGCGAAGAGAGGACCTGTTTTCTAATATAAAAGACTCATAGACTTTAAGGCTAGACGGGACCACCGTTGTCATGTAGTCTGATCTCCTGCACATTGGAGGCCACAGAACCTCACTCATCCACTCCTATAAAAGGCCCATAATCTCTGACTGAGTTACTGAAGTCCTCAAATCTTGATATAAAGACTTTGCATTACAGAGAATCCACCGTTTACTCTAGATCAAACCAGCTAGTGCATCCAATGCTGCAGAGGAAAGCAAGCTCCCCTCTCTTCCCTGGGTTTCTGTCAATCTGACTTGGGGCAAAATTGCTTCCCGACACCAAATATGGTGATCAAGGTCCTACTAAACCCTGAGGATGTGGTGACACCCAACAGCTGGACATCTGGGAAAGAATTTTCTGTAATAATTCAGAGCTCTCCCCATATAGAGTCCCATCTCCAGCAGTCATGGATGGGCTATATGTCATTTTAGGCAACCTCGTCATAGCATCCCCTCTGTAAACTTATGCTAAGTCTAGAAACAATTTAGGTTTTTTCCCCCCACTTCTCCCTTTGGAAGACTGTTCCAGAACTTCACTCCTTTCATGATTAGAAACATTCATCTAATTTTGAGCCTAAGATTGAAGCTAAGCTTTTTTTTTAAAAAAACTAATATCTTTTCAATTCTCCTTTGTGTAGAGACACAAAACAAGCCTAATTTATTTTCCTTGGCATGCAATCTTTAAGAAAGTGTATTTGGTTGTGCCTCATATTATTCCATTTAATATTTCTCTTAAGATAATTTTTTTTTGTATGTGAGTCTACCTGTAGTGTAAGGTAATTTCTGGTCTTTGTTTTTTCTGTTTGCCAACTAAACATGTCTCATCACTGATGAACTAAATGTAACCCACAAAAAGTTAAGTCTAAAGTTTAAAGTTCTTTTGGAAACAGAAAACTGATGTGCTAACGGTAAACAGCATGAAATATAGTTGGAAAAGATACATATATTTTGTTTGACCATGCCTGTTCCATTGACCATTTAAACTTTAAGTGAGATTGAAATATTGTTGTTTTAAACAGTAATCTGCACCCTACACTATCACCTTCGGATGTGTTTGAGCAGCCACAATCTGTTGGTCATAAAAAAATTAAGTTCCAAATTTCTGCAGACATTCCGGATGTTCTTCAGAAAAGCTTAGAGAGAGACCAAAACAATGGTAAGGATGCTTATCCTTAAATTCTTCTGTTAAATAATGTGAAATATTTTAAGATGCAAAGAACAGGCAAGATAATATGTATATAACATCATATATGAGTTGAATATTTTTATGTTCTGTGACTTGGAGAATGACGACTCTGTAAATAGTGCTGGTTTATTTTTATATTTATTTAATGTGAGTTTTCTTTTAAGGAATTCAACCCTAAGGCCTGGTCTACACTTAAATTTTGGGTCGACATAGCTGCAATGCTCAGAGGGTGAAGAGCTATGCTGACCTAACACCTTGTGTAAACTACCATCTGTTGGGGAGACAGTGTTCCTACAGCGATGGAAAAACCTCTTCCATCACTGTAGACTGCGTCTATGCTATGGCATTATGGTGGCATAGCTACAGTGCCATAGCAATGCCACTATGCTCACCACAGTATAGCATGTCATTCAATCAATAAACCTGCCTTAAATTTCACTTTTTTCAGAAATTCCATCTTTTACAAGACTCTCTGTTCAGTTTCAATTCAGAATGCAGGATGGGGGTGGGATTTTAAGGCTCTAAGATTGCTCATCAACACAAGATGATGTATTATCTTTGTCTTTTTAAAGTGAATTATGTGTTTTAATTTTTTTAACAATCTTACAAATTATGCTGAAGACTTCACATGGTGTAAAGAGGCATTTCAAGACACTTAGTGTGTGCTTCAGCTTTTTTCAGATCTTTCAAGAGAGCAGCCTTCCTGTATTTGTCAGTTTCTGTAATGCCCCAATGTGCACTTTGCTCATTATGCCCCACACTATAAAGACAGTGGGGCAATAAGGTTTCTTATGGCGTTATTTCCCAATATTATGAAGTTCCTGTAGATATTCTTATGGAATATAAAATGAGAATTTAGAAAACCTTATAAAACAGCGTAATGGTGACAAGAGGGAAAAATGGGTCTTGCTGAAAGGTGTTTTCTCCAGTAAAGTAAATGCTGGAGCATTATATGAAGCAGATGGCTTCTGTCAAAGTAGGAATTAGGACACGTTCTTCATGCATCTGCAAAAGACAAATAACCATTATGTATGTACTAAAATTCCTTTCTATCTTGACTTGTATTCAGAACTTAACCCCTTTAAAACTTCAGGATTTTCTGGCTTGCAGTCCATCCCTTCCCCCCTTCTTTTGGAACGTGAATCAACTCTTACAAACATTGAATACAATGTTTTATTCAACTTTCAGATCTTTATGCAACTTCAGAAGAAATAACTAATGCAGGATTTGGAAAGATCTTCCCAGCTCCTAGCTCTAATGATAAAGAGGACACAGAAGAAGAAGAAGATGATGATGAAATACCATCAGAATTTGTTTCTAGAAGGGAATTGGAAAAAGGCAGACTTTCTAGAGGAGGTATTTTCTTTAGATTCTATTTTAACTAACTATTGTATACAAATCAATATTTTCAAATTATTGATATTTTGTTTTAAATTTTTAAGTTACATTACTGTTACATAGTCTATAATTTACTATTTGTGTTGTAAGATATTTGTTTTTGTTACAATGTATATTTTCTTTAAATGAGGTTTTAAAAAGCAGTGAGATGAAGATTTATTAAGTCATATAACATGCATATTGATTATTTTTCCCCATCTTTCTGTCGTGGTCAAGAAATGGAAAAACTTTCCATTTTCAAAAACTATGAGCCAGGTGATCCAAACTGCAGGATTTATGTGAAGAATTTGTCAAAACAAGTTCAAGAAAAGGTGAGTAAGGATTTATGAAAATGTTCTGTTGTTTTTCTTTGTTTGCTGTCTTTCCTTACACACCCATTTTAATTTCAGGATCTCAAGTTTATTTTTGGAAGATACGTTGACTTTCAATCAGAAACTGAACGAATTATGTAAGTTATTTCAATTTCTTGGTAAAATTAAACTGTGCAGTAACTTTTAGAGCAATAGTGAAAACTACAGTTGAAGTTGCAGTCATTTTGAGCCCCTTTTGTCTGTTTCTAATTTTTGGGGGAGAAAATCATTTTTGCCTGAAAACGTTGTTTGTTAGGGGAGAGTAGAAATTTTTGTATACAGTTAAGTATTTTATCTAGAAGGGGTGTGCCTATTAACAGAATATTTTTTTTGACACCTACTGCGTAACAGTGGGGAAGGACTGGGTACTTTTTTTTTTTTAATGCAACATTTATAATTTACTTGGTATGCACACAACTGCCACCTACTGAGTGGAGTGGTACGTTTGGGTATAAAGACCCTGTACTGTGCCTTTAGAACACAGAGCCGAATCCCAGTTCCTGATGTCGCTGGATTGGCCAAAGTGTACAGCATTGTAATGATTGAAGTCCTAGGTGCTTATGCATCTGTTAAATCAGTGTTTCTCAAACTGGGGCCGCCGCGTGTGAAGGGAAAGCCCCTGGCGGGCCGGGCCGGTTTGTTTACCTGCCCCATCTGCAGGTCTGGCCAATCGCGGCTCCCACTGGCCACAGTTCGCTGCTCCA